AATTGCCCATGCCCCATGCTTGGTGCATTACCCACTGGCAAGTACGGAGTGGAGTACTCTGCGCACTCGTTGGATTGGATCCCCAACGCTACCCTTCGCACCTTCCCTGGGCCACGGTTCGAGCGGCGATACTGACATATATAAGGCAACCGCGTCCCAGCAACTTCCTGCCGTACCCCATCCCGACCCTGCTCCTACCTTCCCTCCATTTCAAGGACTTGGCTCGAGTTCCCAATCCCCAGGATTTGGATTCTCCCCTCATCCTCACCTCCGCCCTTTCCTTCCCCAACAACAACACATCACCCTTGGGCAAGCAACCATGGGCGCTCCTCCCCCCGAGGTGTCCACCCCCCCGGACGTGCCGACCACCGAGTCGGACAGCGTCACCAACGAGAAGGGCGTCTCGAAGCCGCAGTACGCCGAAAACGCCGGCAGCATCGAGTCCGCCGAGCCCTGGGACGAAACCGCTACCAAGCAGCTCCTCCGCCGCATCGATCTGCACCTCATCCCCTTCCTCGCCTTGCTGTACCTGCTCTCCTTTTTGGACCGCACCAACATCGGCAATGCCCGTCTCGACACGCTCGAGGCCGACTTGGGCCTCGACAAGTCCAAGAACCAGTACAACGACGCGCTGGCCATCTTCTTTCCCTTCTACGTCGCGGCCGAGATTCCGTCCAACATGGCCATGAAGCGGTGGCGGCCGTCGATTTGGATTCCGAGCATCATGGTCGCGTGGGGTATTTGCTGCACGCTTATGGGTGTCGTGCACAACTATGCCGGTTTGATGGCGGCGCGGTCGGCGCTGGGCGTTGCTGAGGGTGGTTTGTTTCCGGGTATTACTTATTAGTGAGTTTTGACTTGAAGGAGAGGGAGAAAATGGGAAGCGATGAATGCTAACAAAAACAGCATCACCATGTGGTACAGGCGCCATGAGTGTGGTCTGAGAATGGCCATCTTCTTCTCGGCGGCTACCGCTGCTGGTGCCTTCGGCGGTCTCCTGGCTCGCGGTATCATGGAGATGCGCGGCGTTGCGGGGCTTTCGGGATGGAACTGGATCTTCATTCTCGAGGGTATCCTTACCATCATCGTTGGTATTTTTTTTCCCCTTCATTGTCACGAAGGATGGCGAGACTGACGGACTGGACAGCCCTCTTTGCCTTCTGGGCCATGTACGACTATCCCGCCACGGCCAAGTTCCTCTCCCCTGCTGAGAAGCAGGAGGTGCAGGACCGTCTCAAGCGCGACCGCTCCTCGCTCGCCGATGAGTTCGACATGAGGTACTTCTGGGCCGCCATCAAGGACTGGAAGATTTGGGTGCACATGTTCATCACCATTGGCGTCTACACCGGTCTCTACTCGTACGCCCTGTTCCTGCCCACCATCGTCCGCGATCTCGGCACGTACAACGCGCACACCTCGCAGCTCATGACTGTGCCCCCGTACTTTGTCGCCTGTATCTTCTGCATCGGCGCCGGTTGGTACGCCGATAAGAAGGGCCAGCGCGGTATCTTCATGATTGGCTTCATGTGCATGGCGTAAGTTCTCACTCAGCTCTCATCGCATTTCGACTTCTAACAGGGAATAGTATCGTCGGATTGATCATGCTCATGGCCACGCAAAACCCCGGTGTCAAGTACGCCGGCTGCTTCCTCCTCGCCTCGGGCATCTACCCCAACGTGCCCCAGGGTGTGGCCTGGAACGGAAACAACATTGGCGGTTCGCTCAAGCGCGGTGTCGGCATTGCCATGCACGTCGGCTTCGGCAACCTCGGCGGTACCATCTCGGCCTACCTCTACCTCGCCAAGGACGGACCCCGCTACTACTCTGGTCACGGCACCCTCCTCGCCTGCCAGTTCATGGCGCTCTGCCTGTCCGTCTTCATGACCATCTACCTGCGCCGCGAGAACGCCAGGAGGGACCGCGAGTACAAGCCCCCGAGCGAGTACACCGAGGAGGAGCGATATGCCGAGCGCGAGAAGGGCGACAATGCCACCTTCTTCCGCTATACCATCTAATTCACTCATTTACGGGAAGGTGGGAGAGGAGGAAGGGGCTTTTTCCTGTTTATATGTCATGTTATACTATACCATATTGAGTTGAACATACTCTTTGGGTGGAAAATTGATGTTGTTCTGGGATGCACATCCGCTGTCATTTTTGGTGATTGTTGGGGAGGAGAGGTGACCACGTGATTTACGCATGACTCGATGCCAAGATTTTGCTCATGATCGGGACTTTGTCGTATGGGGGCCGCAGCGGGTGCGGTTCCCGTGGTGGATGGAGTCGCCCGATCACGGTTGGAGAGGCGAGAGGCAGGTGGGCTATTCCGATTTTGGGGCATCGTGTCGAGTTCAGTTGGCTGTCACAAGCTGAGTCTTGTCGGTGAGACAGTGATGACAGCCGTCAAGATCGAGCGGGCGATTGCACAGCAGCAGACACATGTCTCTGTCAGGACAGTGGTACGCGCGATGAGACAGGAGCACCACAGCGTGACGCGACAGAGCGTCTCGATCTCGCCCGACGCGACGGAAACATCCGTGTCACTTGCTTCAGTCTCCAGCAATTTTTTTTGAAGCTTTTTTTTCTTGGGATTGACGAAAGACGCGTCGCTGTCGCGGCGGTCTTATTTTAGAAGGTAAGCTGACTTTTGCCGGAAGCTTGACCTGTGAGCTTGAGTAAGCTGCTCACAGATAACAGACGAGAGGCCGTGATTGGTCGGGAACGGTTGGATATTATCGTTTGGGGGCAGTGATGTCTTGTCGTCGATGCCAATGCGTGCCAGTGTCCCGAGGGTGGGAGTCCAACTTTTGTTTCCTTCCTTTGCTACTTTTGAGAAGAGCGTTTCACTCAATATTTGTCACTCTGGAAGAAAACTGGAGATTTATTTCTTTCTGTGCCCCTGAAGCTTTGCGGTTTGTTGATTCATTTGTGTTCACATCTTGGTTCGTTCAGTCGCATCGCGCGCCAAGGATGCGCATCACACTCTGTCTCAGCGCGGCGGCCAGCGTCCTCCTCGCAGTAGTTCCACAAACAAGCGCCGACCATTCGGCCGAAGTCCAATGTTTTGCGCCAGATGGGAGCCTCGCGCCAAACGACACCATCGTTCCGTGCAACAACCTCGGCATCACACAATCGGGCATCCAGTCGAGTTGCTGTCAACTCCAGGGCGACGAGCACACGCGGGATCTCTGCACGGCGACCGGTCTCTGTCTGAACAATGGCATTGTGCGAAGGGGATTCTGCACCGACAAGACGTTTAACAATCCGCATTGCGTCAAGGTTTGCACCAACGCAAATGTATTACCCCCTTTTCCTTGACGCGGCGACCCCTGAGATGGAACTGACAAACTGTCACCAGGCCGGCGGAAATCCAAATGGCTTCGCTGAAATGACCTCTTGCACCGACGGGACATACTGCTGGTTCGTCACCCCCCCTTCCCCATTTCCACCCGTATCCCATCCCCAATCCTATCACCCACCCTAACCCCTCCCTTTTAGCGGCCGCAACAACCTCACCTGCTGCGGCACCCCCTGGGCCATCGAACCCCCCACCGTCGTCTCCTCGGCCCTCACAACCACCATAACCGCATCCCCCTCATCCTCCCCATCAAACACCAAAACCCTCGCCGGCCTCGGCGCCGCCCTCGGCACCGTCCTCCTCCTCGCTCTCGGTTCCACATTCTACCTCCTCCGCCGCATCCGCGCCCTGAAATCCTCGCTGTCCGACTCCCAGCCCCTCCTCCTCTCGCGGCACTCGGCTGAGCTGCACGCCTTGCGCGGAACCGGAATGGGAATGGGTATGGGCACGGGGAAATCCCCCCTCGCAAGTCCCACACCGAGCGGCCGCGGCACGCCGAAATATATGCTCGCTGCGAGTCCGCTTCCGAGTCCGGCCATGTTGGCGGGGGGAAGTCCGCGTGTGAATATGAATGCCGGTATGAACATGAATACAGGGATAAATATGCAAGAGGCGGAAATAGAGAGGTTAAAAGGGCTGTATCCGCAGGATAGCGTGGTGCAGCAGAGTCTGAGGAGGGGGAGTCCGCCGGTGGGAGGGGGGCTGGATTACTTGTTTAGGGCGAGTGAGTTGGATGGGGCGGGGGTTCAGCAGAGGGGGGAAGGAGTGGTGGGTGGGAGGGGGAATCAGGTGTACGAGGTTCCGGGGCAGGGGAGGGAGGGGTGGAATGGGAGTCCGGGGTTGAGGGGGCAGCAGAGGGGGGTGGGGAGGTGATGGGAGGGACTAAGGGGGCGGCGTTTTGTTTCTGGGTAAGAGACTTAGCTGCATTTTCGAGGTATGGTGTTGGAGGATAACAGCGAGGTATTGCATTGGATTGGTAGCATGGCATGGCGTTGGGATAGGTGCACTTGTTTTTATTGCTATTCAGAGTTATGGGGTTGGGATTGCTTTCTGACATTGGGCCTCTGAATCAAATGCTTGAAAGGGGTAGCAGTCCGGGCAGTTATCTCGGATATGTCAACCTGGGAAGATTTCGTACTGTGATTCGTTAATCTGTACCCAGGATCTGCGTTGTGAGTGTCTGCAGAAGTAGGTAATGTGGCATTGTTTTCCTGTTCTTTAACAGCCTGAGCTGAACCCGGCGTGTTTTCTAGATTGCAACAAAGTCGCGCATCTCATCCACTGGCTGAGCGGAATAGCAAATACTGAAAACATGATTTGCGTAGCGCAGCCACAACTTCGCGCGCCGCCAAAGCTAAAATAATCAGATTTAGGAGCATATCCCATCGCCGGCTTAGGTACAAAAACCAAGCTTCAATCAGCCCCGGCGTGGCAAAACAAAAAGGGGCATCAAGCGGAGAAACAGAAAAAGTCAAATCCAAGCCCTGATCGCAGGTGGCTTATTTTATACTTTTTGGGCGTGCCGACGTCGGCCAGTGACAATCTGATAAAGCCTGTTGCCGCTACAGGCATGGCGAATAAAAAACAAGAATGATAATACTTTCGTTTCCCGAAGAGATGGGCCCATGAGGAAGCACGATGTCGTCGCCTGCAGGATTCGAACCTACGCCCCCGAAGGGACTGCCTCAGCTGCGAATGTAGCAGGGCAGCGCTTTAACCACTCAGCCAAAGCGACAGATGGATGTGTTTTGACGGGGGAAGCGGAAGGTTTTGTTGGCTTTATTTCGCAAAATGGCGCTGTGGCGTGTTTGTGGACCTGGACTGCGGATTACCCCTTTTTGATGTGGGTCCGTTGTTTCTACCCCTTTTTCCGAGCTCAGCGGCGCCTCTGATCATCAACAGCGGCAGCAGAGTGCATTTTGCATTTTCCCACAGTAGGCCTAAGGCAGAGCAATCCTTCTCTTCGCAGCCAAGGCCTGCGGAATCTTCTGAATTTCGAAGATATTATCTGGCCAGCAGAACTGAACCACCCTGACCAACAACCTACCTAGGCAACAAACTTCGCGGGCCGTGATTTAGCTTTTGCAACCCCGTGGGTGCTGCAGTGAGGCTGTTGGGAGGCTCAGTCTTGAGGCGACCAATGAAGAAGCCTCAAATACGACGGTGCGCCCGTCTCGGACCCAACACACCGCACGAAGAAATCCGAGTTGTCAACTTACCGACCTCCTCGCATTCATAGAACATCCCGAGGACTTCGTGCCGTTAACACCTCCGACATATCCGCTAAAATCCGCAATATCCGTGAATGGTTACTGATCTCCAACACAGATAAATAGACGCAGCTGCAATCATTTTGCATTGTGAAGTAGAGGACAAGAACAACCGAAGGAAAAACAACTGAACCGCTACACATTGCCTTACCTTGAAACATCAACTCCAACATGTCAGAGCAATCCACATACCCGCACTCTCTCGCCTCCCTCAGCACGCGTGAGGCCATCACCGACGCCGTCCACCGCGCGCTTCTCGGCTGCGACCGCAACGACGCCGCCATTTTCACCTCTGCGTGGGTCGGAGAAGACGTCACATTTGAAGTGAACGACGGCGAGAAAAAGGTCATCCCCAGCCTTTCCACAATCTTCACGGCCGTCTTCGACAGGATCGGACCCATGGACACCTCGCACAGCCTCGCCAATGTCCGCGTCGATGTCCAGGACGGAGCCGACGTTGCTCATCTCACGGGTACCTCTACGGCGCAGCACTGTCCGCCTGGTCGGGGGAGGGAGCCGGATGGTCCCAAGTTTTGTGTGGGTAGCCAGTATGATATCCATCTGTTGAAGGACGAGGCGAGTGGCATGTGGAAGATTAAGAAGTGGGTGTTGAACGTCACGTGGACGCAGGGCGACCCGTCGGTGATGCAGTCCATGAGGCCGGTGTAAACTTGTGTATCGGGCCTGGTTGATGACTTCCAGTTCAACATGATGAGCGCTGGAAAAGAATAATTTGATTTTCTGCCCCCATGTACAAGGACTGTGATATGCTAGACTCAAAGACCCCAGAGGAACCATGTCTTGTACCTCCTTGCTTCTCCAGCGACACCCATTCCAACATCCAATTTTGTTATCCAACCCATAGCCCTGCCCATTCCTACCAACCCACACCCCAGCTCTAGACACAAATACCCCCGCAATCAGCCCTACACACAAAAGTTAGCTCTCACCTCTCATCCACAACACAACCCAAGTCCAACAAGCCAACGAAGAAAAAAAGTGCAACTCACCCCCCATTCTTGGGATCACAATCATCCCTCGGATCATCCACACAAATCTTCCCCCCATCCTTACACGCAAACCCCGCGAACCCCCCGCAAAACTCGGGCTGGACGCATATCCCCGGCCTATCGCACGCCATGCCGCACCCGTGCACGTACGGATCATCCACGCAGATGTAACCCTTGGGACAATCCACGGGCTGGATGCGCATCCCGCCGCAGGACTGGTACTTTGTCTTTGTCGGGCGCGGGGCCGGACGGGTGGGTTTGGTGGGGGATGTGTGCTTGGTGGAGGTTGGGAGGGGGGGTTTGGTGGTGGGGATGCAGCGGCCGGCGCAGTTTTCGCCGCGGTCGCAGGAGGGGTCGAGTTTTTCGCAGGTGTAGGAGGATGGGCAGGGGGCGATGCGGAAGCCGCAGGGGCGGTGGTCGTCTTCTTGGGGGAGTTGGGAGGCGAGGGCGGTGGTGCCGAGGAGGGAGGCGAGGAGGAAGGGGAGGTGCATTTTGTTGGAGTCTAGGTAACTGTTGGCGAGAATGGAGATGTTGGTGGATGGCGGTTGAGAGTTGGGTCAAGTAAAAGTCTGGGCAGATATCTGGCATTTATAGCCGGAATGGGAATGCCATTTGGTGTTTTTGGACATGTACCAGAGTAGAGAATAAGGTAGCAACGTCATATCGAGTAATACGTAGAAATACGAAGAGACATTTTGTGCATGTGGGCTAAACAAGCTCAGGGGTTCCGCGCTGGTAGCGAGTCTTGATCGAGGTGGGAGCACACTAATCGAGCCATCAATTGAGACGGTCGTCGCACCGATAATTTCGCAGTCATGGCCACAGCGGGGAACCAAGTTGCCACATTTTCCAGGGACGAAGCGGAGAGTTTCAGCCCGGAGCCCGTTCGGGCGTCGTTTTCGTTGTTCAGTGGTCGCATTCACCATTCCACAGACTTTGTCGGCTGCTATTTTTAGCTCCTGGATAATATCCTGTTCCTAGCGCCAAGACCGCCGAGGCTGGAATCCGGGGAAGGGAGAATACGCTTGCATTCCACAGCCGCAGGGACGATCGGGACGGGTTCCAGTTGATCGGCGTGAGACGGGCCAGGATTGGTCCGCATCTTCTCCCTTGTGTTCCCATTCAACCATCCCAACATCAGACCACCCGACGACAGTCAACATCGCAACTCGGCCCCGAATCGTCCCTCCACGATGCGATGCGCTGATGGTGAGGGCGCAGGGGGCTTTTAGCGGTGACAGCGGTTGTTGAATGAACTCGTCGGATGGTGTGGTCGGGGCAGTAGGCTTTGCTGGTGATGATGTTTTCGGCTCAGGGGGTGGCAGTGTGCCGCTTGGTTTTGGGAACTCGAGGTAAATTTGGGTAATGTTGAGCTGAGTGTGCGCAGGTTTGGAGGACGTGTCATAGGAATCGAAGGGGTTTGAGGGGGTGATGGGGGAGTGGAAGTCACCGGCAACCATGTGAGCCTGCTGTTGGAGGTTCCCTGGGAGAATTGGGATAAAGTGATGGGAAAGAGGATGCTGCACATCTCACCAATGGCACAGCAATATGTTATAAGCGCAACAGTGACTGGGGCTTAACGAGACATTTGGTCGCAAGGTCGAAGCAAGCGATACGCCATTGCTCCTGATATCATTGCAAACACACACACAAGGCGAACCTATCAAGCTCTGATGGGAGCAAGTGTTCACCTCAGGTTGTATCGGCATGCTGTCCTTCCTTGGAGTCACAGCTCCCCGCCTTTGAACTCCTGGATTGACACGACACCAAAGCAAGACCTTCCGCCCTAGTCCCGTCTCCAACTGCGTCTGGTGTTGGATACTGGCATGATCTTTGCTTGGCCGTACTGTAAAGATGTGAGTGGCGCTGTTACAGGCCGAAAATGGCATCCCATCCATGGCCCTTGTCTCCTCGGGGGTTGGAATTCTTTATCACCGCGGTGCAGGCGCAGTTCCATAGCTCTAGTTCTCTACCACCGAGACAATGCCCGAAACAACAATGCAAATGTTAAAAAGCTGACATCTCGTTCCGCCTTCTCCTCGCCCCTACCACTCCTCACCTGCTATCAAATCCTTCAAAAACTTGATATCATTTCTCAACCCCCCCGCATACGCCCCCTGGGGATCCGAGAAGATCTCCGTTCTTCGCAAACTCGCCTCCGCGTACTTTAGCGCCCCCTTCCAATCCCCCCTCGCATGATGAAACATCATGAAGCCCTGATAATACTCTCCCCTCTTGACTTCCAGCCCTTCCTTCTCCACAATGTCTTCGAATTCCTCAATGAGCTTTTTGAGTTGCGGAAGGGAAGTGCTCGAGTCTTCCATCTTGTTGTAGAGATCTGCGAGTTTCTCGCGGCGGGCGTCCGAGGCGGCGAGGGCAGAATGGGAAGCGGTGCACATGGCGCAGGTGCATTTGAAGGACCAGTTTGCGAGGGAGCGTTGGCGGTACTTGGTCGGCATGCCGAGGGGGATGTCTGGGGGTGTTAGTGTGTAAGTCAGATAAGAGGGGTGAAAAGGGGCGGTACAGCTGATGGTGATTTCCTCGCCGGGCTTGATGTCTCTCGTGGCGACAACGCGCATCCCGAGATCGCCGGATTGGAATTGCGGGAAGGAACTGTAAATATCAGCTTCAACCATCCCCCTCAAAATCCGTCTGCATAACTCACTTTGCGTCACAACCATGGTTAATCCTCTGCCCTGAAGTCAGCAAATCCCTTCACCCTCCCCACCACACATCCCCCACTCCCCAGCTTCAAAAAAAAAAAAAAACTCACAGCAACCTCCGGAAAAACCCCCTTCATATCCCTCCCCCCCAAAAACAACCCAAACGCATTCGTCCTCACCAAGTCCTCCACAACATGGACATCCCCCCTCTCCCCGCTCCGCGCCATATCCTTAAACCTCCTCCCATCCCCCGCCGTCTCCAACCCCTCCACCATCCTTGAAAACGCCCTCCACCCCTCCACCGGCCCCTCCTCCGCCTCAGGCGGCATAAACGTATTATCCACCACCATCGCCGGGTACGAAGTCATGATGACCGTGAACTTTGGTATGTGTCGCGTGGCGAGGACGCCGTAGCCTTTTCCCTTTAGAGGGAGGATGCGGTAGGGGAGGGTGGTGAGTTGGGAGGGGGAGAGGGTTCCGTTGTGGGCGAGGTGATGTCGGGCGTGGTAGGCGGGGAGGGGGTCGGATGCGGCGGTGGCGATGATGGTGGCGACTTGGGGGGTGGTGAGGAGGGAGAGGCCGGTGCCGAGGTTGTAGGAGGGGGAGGTGTAGATGCAGAATTTTTGGGTGGAGAGGATGGAGCGCGGGGTGAGGCAGGAGGGGGGGAGGGTCCAGGGGGTGGGGGAAAGGGGGGTTGTGTCTGAGTCGTCGATGAGGGCTGAGGAGCAGGTTGTGGTGTGGGGGGTTAGGGGGGAGAGGGGGATTGGGGGGCATTGTTGTGGGTTGGGGAGG